GGTACGCTCACTACAAAGAATATTAAGAGGGCAGAAATGACATTTCAGCAGAATTTTGTTTTTTAGAAGCACAGCTGGATACACAAAAATCATTCAGCTAAGACCAACTATACTGCATGCTAAAAATAAATGAACTAGAGTTCCTGTTTTCAAGATCTCTTTAGATTCAGCCCCATTGCAAATAAGGAAGCTTTCAAGGGAACTTATGCACCTTCCGTTTATTCAAGTTTTCTCCCAGGGACCCAGTTCTCTTAGTGGAAATTTTCTCTACTTCCTTAATATCACACTGATTAGGTAATGACTATAGCTTATTTTTAGAATTTACTTCATTGAGATGAACTGTTTATGTAGTAAAATTTACTACCTTCAAGTGTACAGTTTGCTGAATTGTGGAGAATGTATATAATCATATGACAATCACCAAAATCATGATATGAAACATTTCCTTTAACCCAAAATAGTTCCTTTGCTCCTCTGTAATAAACTTCTTTTCCCTACTCCCTGGCCCCTAGCAACCTGATCTGCTATCCCTATAATTTGCTTTTGTTAATAACTCTTATAAATTTAATCATACAGTATGTATCTTATTTCTAGCTCCTTTCAGCAGGCATTATGCTTTTAAAAAGTCCACATTACAGTGTATATAAGAAGTTCATTTTTTTTATTGCTAAGTGGCATTCCATTGCTAAGTGGCTATACCACAATTTATCAATTTACTAGAAAATAAGCTTTTGATTTCTTTCCAGTTTTTCATTAGTGTAAATAAAGCTACACTGAACATTCAACTACAGTTCTTTAGGTGGACATACATTTTCATGGGTCACAAAGCAAATGTAAGTTTAACTTTATGTTTTGGTGCCTATTTCTGAAAAACATATTTTTTAATCTCTCATTTAAAACAATAAAAAACCCTATCTATAACGATTCAAATTATTGACACTACTGAATAATATAACTGACCAAATAAAAATCTCAACCTATTAATATCAATAATAGGTTACAAATGTATGTACATAAGGCATAATTAATATTTACTCTAGGATATGGAGAATAGAGTTCACAGTCTGTTGAAAGAGCCAAATTACAGTGGTACCTCAGTTCACAAACTTAATTCTTCCTTGATTCTGGTCACAAACCAAACTGAATGAGAAGTGAATCAAATTCAATGGTTAGGTTCAATGTTGACCTTAGGGGGTAAATTTGATTCCATTCTCATCCAATTCGGTTTTTGACCAGTTCACCTCAAGTTCATGAACCATGTTACCACGATATGCTAATTCAAAATGATGACCTGTTATGAGAAATAGAGCAAAATATTTTAGACCCTTCTCCTCAAAGTGTGGCCCATGAGCCAACAGCATTGGTATCTGGAAAGGTGGTAGATACACAACATCTCAATACCACTCTCTGAACTACTGATTCAGGACCTGCATTTTAACAAGATCCCCAGGTGATCTGTGCATTTGAGAAATTCTGCCTGAGAAGGTCAGGAAAGAGAGAAATTAATCCCATGAAGAGGACCAGGTTCCACAGAAAATACAGGGTTTTTTGGAGGGGGAGTAGAAAATCATTCTAATTCCCATGCTATATCTTTTAAGTCTTTAGAGCTTGACCTTTTAAAAATTTCCAATTAATAGAATTTTCTCTGAAGAAAGTAGCCAGAGTCTCTGAAAATAAATGGCTTTGAGAGAAATTTCCCTAAGGAAATTCTAGGGACTATTTTTGGTTTCACTGGAAGTTCCCCAGACACTGTCCTTCCTATAACATTTCCAGTTTTATCCCTCCCTCTGTTACCAATATCATTATGACACCACTGCTATTTTTGTGAGGAAATATGTAGGACTTCTTTCTTTACAATGTACTTATAGGACATTCATTTGATTCTGCTGTTTCACCTAAAAGTGCCAAATGAATCACTGGCCAATTATTGCTATTTATAACTTGAATCTATGAATTATAGTTTGTAGAGCTAGAAAGTCTGCAAGAGTTGAAGGCATTTAGACACAGTGAGGTTTTATGTACTATATTACAGAAGAGGCACCAGGAATTATAAAAAATTTTAAAAAGTTGTAAAGGTGATCTTGCCATTAAGTCATAGAGTTAACACAACAAGAGAGCATCCTTTTGTGGATTCCCTTCAGGTACAATTCCTATCTCAGCTTGAGGGCACAGCAGTACAGTAATACCTTGGTTCACAAATGCTTCCATTGGCATTCAGTGGTTTGCAAACAAAATTTTGCTTCTTTTCACAAACTCTGCATCAGGTGACAGACACTTTTCCCACACAAACAAAAATAGAGCCATCTTCCCCCAAATTATAAAACAAATGAACTTTATAAACCAAGGTACCACTGTACTTACTTATTTGATGAGTAAATAAACAAGGAAATAAAGGAGTGACTTCATATTGCTAAACCAATTCGTCTTTACTTTGTTCCAGTCCTCTCTGATCTCTACGGTGTTCAATTCCTAAACCACACTAGCCAAGGTCTCATGAACTGCTGTACTTATGTTTCTAGATCTCTTCTTTCTCTACCCACCTAAATATAGGTGCTCTCAGGGATTAATACTGTTTCCAAAGCTCACATTCTCATTACTTCTCACTTAGTTACTTGGAACAATCTCTAGTCTTCCCTTTAAATCAGCCATGGTGCTAGATCAGTCATAAAACTCTCAAAGTACAGATCCCATATTATCAACCATCACAAAGAAAAACCTTCAAAATCCCTTGTCTGCCAAATAATTATAAAATCACTAAGCCTCACATTTGGTTGGTCTTTCTATTTACAGTACTTCTCTACATCCTCCTTCTCCTCCTTCATGCAATTTATTCTTTAGATATTAGGATTGCCTGCTTGGCAATCAGACTTCCTCAGTTGGAGTCTCAGCTCTTCCTCTGACTAATTAACTGTATGACCCTGGGATTTCTCTTAACCTCTATACACCTTGGTTTCCTCTGGAGAATAATAATACTACCTAATAGAGCTATTGTAAGTAGTAAATACAAAGCACTTAAGTAGTGGCACACTCTTCTAATCTTGTTTTAATTTTTCTTTTAAAACTACTGAAAGATTAGCAGGCCATACACCAAGTCTTAACTAAAAAACTAGCTTCAAAATATCCTCGTAAAGATCTTAAAGAATTTGTGTCATTGTACTAATAATAGCATCAAAAAATAAATTTCCATTACATTGGTAGCTATTTTTATTACATATTAATTTTGACATTTCAAAGTATCTGTAACAAGAAGGTTTACTCATCTAAACATAAAATGAAAGGCATTCAAAATAGCGGTAATTCTTTGACAAAACAGACTCTATTCTGGCTATAGATACCACATCTATTAATGCTTTTCATAAAAATACACTGAGACTTTGGAAAAACAAACAAATAATAGATCCAGATTTATAATCAGCATTTCAATTTTATGTCTTAACGCAAGAAATAAAACCAAGAACTCTATAATTAATCTGAATTGGAAAATAGGTTTCATCTTATATTTAAGATCCATTATAATGTTGAGAAGGATTCAAATACTATGTCATAAGCTTAGAAGCAAATACTGTGTGAGTCAGCAATGTTTTACGAGAAAAGATTAAAGACTGGAACATTTCTCGGCCCTAGGCTGAGAATGAGGCAGAAGAATCAACACTGTGTAACCCATGATGATAAAATTTTTTTGAATAATTTTATGACAGAACTGTTTCAAATGTTTTAGATATAAAGTTCTTTTAATCCTTAACACTTCCTTTTAAAATGGCACTATTTTCATCCCTATCATACAGACAGAGACATTAAGCACAGAAAAGTTACAGCCTGCCCAAGCATATCCACACAGTAAGCAGCAGAACTGGTACTCAAACCCACATACGCCAGAATCCATGCTCCTTGTCCGCATCCTATCGCTACCGCAGTAATGGAAATTTACTTCCATTTCCTCAATTCCAGAATATGTAAAGATTGACTGGAAAGGCTGCTCCATATATCAAGATGACTACAGCTCAGATTCCATTAAATTAATAGGTTATTGGCAGCAGGAAATCTGAGGATCTAGCCCTCCCTGCAGCCCAGATTCATAGTGTTCAAGAATTCTGCAAATGCAGTGGCCAAGGACTATGCTAGGGAAGGGCTTTGAAACCATCACAAACATTCTCCATGTGAATAAGCAAGAGCTTAAGAATTTCCCAAGGACTAAATTCGAAGACCATTATTAATATCCAAATTTGCCAATACCACTAAAGAAAAATCTTCTCAGTCAACATGTGTCCAAAAAGACCTCCAAACGAGACTGTAAAATATAAAATTTGCTAGTAGAATATTTGTTCTTAGATGAACTTTAATGAATTGAAAAGATTACATGGATTCAAGAATAAAATGTAGCTAATTCCTGATGGAAAGTTTTATTCTAGAGCTTTCTCGGAATAAAACTAATAAATTGGTATCTGAAATTACTACACAAGGCTCTAGGGATAATACAAATAATAAACCTAAAAGTTACATTAGGGTACTTTAATGGAATTACTGTTAATTGCTGCATTTAAAGACAGAGAGAACTGGAATTATTTCTCTTGAGAAAACAAGACCCAGAGAGAGCAAAGCTCTTTCACAGTACTATTACACCTTGCTTCTATATTGGCCTAGAAGAGTTAGCAAAGAAGGCCCATTCAAATTAAGAATAAAAATAACATTAAAAATTTCTAGGGCTGAGGATTTAGCTCAGCGGTGCCATGCCTTCCTTGCAAGCACAAGGTCCTGAGTTTGATCCCCATACCAAAAAATCAAAAAATTTCTATAGCTTGACTTTGGGATATGCTGAAGAGGAATTGATTGGTTATATTAGCAATTTCAGAGGCCTTCTGACAACCTGTAAAACCAGTGAGGGAAGAAAATATCAGGCATATAGAAATGGACTTTAGAGAAAGAAACATCATACAAGTACCTTTCAAATGTTCAAGCTTACATGGTAAGGGATCTGACACAATAGTGTTGCCTTTGCTTACCTGCACTTTTAGGAATCTATTTCTCAAAGGCCCTCTGTTTTTGAAGGTGAAAAATATGGTAATGAGGGGCCAGACTTGAAGACTTAAGAGGATGTTTGCTGAACTACTGAGTCCTCTCTACTAGAAATAATCCAAGACCCAGGGTTGTGCTGTTTCTTCACTTTGAAATGCTGAAATGAAACACAAAGATAGCATACTTAGAAGAATGGTTAAGCCACTCACAAACAATTTATAGACATTAAAAATGTTAATGAAAAAATTATTTAATAAACACATTTCTGATCTCCTTACAGGATGATGAAATCACTAAAACCAAACCAAACCAAACCAAACCAAACAAAAAAAAATCCAGTAGCCAAACTTACAGCACATATTACATTACTGTTATACATGACTAGTTTGCCAAAGAATCCAGCTCAATCTCCTTGAAAAAAATAACACATCCAGCTCAATTAATTCAAAACAAACCAGTAACGAAAGAAGCGTCTGTCTTATTTTTTGGCTTCTCTCCACACGTAACACAGCTTTATTGTTAAATGCAGAGGTGAGAGAAGGACCTACTGCTCTCAGAAATCGAAGAGAAAGTGAAGTGAGAGAGGAGAATGAACAAGTTGAGAAGAGTAAAAATATACAGAAGAAAGTGAGCAGAAAGAAAGCATGGGTAAATTATTGAGAGGAATAAGTAGTGTTTGAATGTGCTATGGTCCATTTCCCGGGCAGAAAAAGTTTTTAAAAAATTCTCAAACTGTTCCTACTATAACTTTTCTCACACAAAACTCACCCTGACACGTTGCATGCTCTTTTCTGACAGTAGAAGATATTTGTATTTTCAAAAAATTCTTAGGCCACAAATGTTTAAAAGAATGACAAACAGATGGTGAATATTTCATTTCAGAAGACACTTATGAACTCTAATATCCTAAACTGGGAAATGATTGTTTGGTTACTATGAAGATCATGTAGTAACATGCAAAAAATTGATTCCACCAAGTAAGAAAAACAAAGGAAAATATTAAGTTGAATAGTTCTCTGTTAGATGTATTATGTATGATATTACTGAAAGTCATTAAAGAAAAAACAAAATCAACTGATATAAGTTGTGTATTACAGGGGATTTTTTTCTTAAACTGAATACATGTAAAATGTGTAGAAAACATAAAACTCTTTTTACTATTCCTATACGTCCCACTTTTAAAGTGCTAAGTACTTGACCCACTTAGAAATTAGAAGTAAAGTGATCCTCCTTAGGGGCTACTATTATACTACAGAAGTCTTCACCATGAGACAGAATTTGACCTAAAGAAATGATTAATCATGATAAATTATACACATCAGAATTACTCTCCCTAAATGTACAGAACTACAGTTCCTGATTGCAACCATCTTCTATCCATTACTACTTCTTATTAACTACAGTAGAGGATCACAGTTTTAAAGTTAGAAGAGTCCCTTAGAATTATGTCTGAATAAGTTGTTAAAGAAAACTCAGTATCATACCAGGAGGGGAACAGGAATATAGTTATATCTAGAATAAAGGGATGAAACAAGATAAGCCCTGTCTCATGTTTAAGAGCCTTCATGAAGAAAAATTAGCCTGGTCCTGAAGGCTACCAAGTGGGTAAGCCGAGGCCTGTGAATGAAAATTTCAAGGAGGTGGCTTTGAACTCAGTACTAGGAAGAACTTCCTATGGTAATATTTATGCTGCTTAAAGAAAATGACAATTTGTATTGCTGGATAGTGGGTCACTCATTACTAAAGATATTTGGTTCTAAGTCTCACTTGACAGAGGTTTGCAGAGCAGCTTTTAATAAACTTCAGTGACCACTGGCATCACCTAAGCATATTGTTAGGATGACATTCTGACTCAGCAGGTCTGAAGCAGGGCTTGATTATCTGTATTTTCAGCAAGCTCCCAGGCACTGCAATGCAGCTAGGTCTGTGCACATAGGTCGAACAAGAACACTAGACTGTTATTTAAACTAGTGCTTCTCAAGGTATGGTCTTACATAGAGTTTTGGAAAGAGTCCTTTCCAGCCTTGATTTTAGGGAAGAGGATTAATAGACAAATAAAGGAGTTATTAACAGGGTTTGTGAGTTCACTCATTCCAAGTCTCAAAAAGCATGGTATCCTGGTATTTTGGAGTACCTCTAAGATCATAAGTAGTAATTTTATATAATTCCAAAGAAGGTATGCTTTACTTCCATTAAAAAAAATGGTGCTCTTATTCTAAGCCTGGAACATAACTGACAACAAATAATGAATGAATTTATGACTTCAGTGCTTTATATCTAACAGAAAGAGGATATAAAAAAAACCATAATGTAAAATTTCCTAGTCATTCCATCATAAAACTATGTGTCTATAAAGGAATGAGGAAAGTTTCCCAAGGTCAGCAACTGTAGTCTTTGTCAGTATAGGGCTTTGCATCATTTTCTTAGCCCTGGCATTTTATCTCCCTACCATCCATCTGGATCAGAATTCCTTCAGTGCTTTGAAAGTTCTCATTTCTAGCTTAGTCATATTTTGCTCTGCTCCTCAAGTTATCGAATAAATGTCAGCTTTCCATTAGTTCACAATTCTATGTGATAACTTTCCTGAGAAATATATTGATATTCGAATACATGAATACTCAAAACTGAAAGCATTATGTTTCTTTCTCAGAGTAAATAATCCTACAAGTAAAGGGGAACCAGCTGGGTTAGGGTATAGCTCAGTGTTCAAGCCCCTAACATGCCCGAGGTCCTAGGTTAAATTCCTAGCAACGCAAAAAATAAAAAATAAAAGGAAACCAGTTTCCTGCCTTTCCCTGACCCTGAAAAATCCCCCTCTGCCTTTGCTTATAAGTTACAAATAACATTCCATTTGATTTATCAAAGCCCCTTTCAAACAATCCTATCAGTTTATTCTAAGCAAGCCTAGATTATTCTGGCCCTTTTGAAGTATCATGTCTTGCTTTTTCCTTAACTCTCCCACTTTTTTTTTTGGTATATGTTTGTGATACATAATAATTACAGTCATCTGGAGAATGGGTACAAACACATACTGTGTTTTGATCATTTTTACTCTCCCTGCCCTCCCCTTCCTTCAAAGTTTCCCTTCCCATCTCCACAGAGTCTACTTCCAACTCTTATTTTGCTCATTAAACTATGTATATTATAGGTTTCTCATATTTGAGAAACAATCCAGAATTTAACCTTCTGTGCCTGATAAAAAGAAATGAATTGAGGTAAACAATCAGACGAGCAGATATCAGGCTTAAGACTTCAGTGTTGAAAACTATCCTGCTTTCTATAATAAATAAAATATGTAACAATATTTATACCACTACATATCAGATGACCTCCTAAAACCAAGTTATATATGAGAGGTGAGTCTGAATTTGGGATACTTTATGATTTATTATCACAAATAAACAAATGCATATGGCATACATACTTTATAAAATCATATAATCTTTCATTTATTTCCTAATATCAGGTTAATCCTTAAGGCAAAATACATTGAGTGATTCAATTTGTCTCCCTACTACTGGGGATGAACCCAAGGCCTTTGTACTAGGCTACATCCCCAGCCCTTTTTTATTTTGGAGTTTTAGACAGAGTCTCATTAAATCATTAAGTTTCCCAGACTGGGCCTGAATTTGTGACCCTCTTGCCTCAGCTTCTTAAAGTGTTAGGACTTGCTGGCTTCAAATTCATTCATTTTTGGGCTGGGGATTTAGCTCAGTGGTCCTGCTGCCTGCCTCACAAGTGCAAGGTTCTGAGTTTGATCTCCAGCACCAAAAAACCAAAAACCCAAATTCATTCGTTTTTTTTTTTTTTTAAACTCTGAACACTGTTTTCTTTTTTTTTTTTGCCTGCTGTTACACTTTAGTTTTAAAATTTAATTTAGTTTTATTAGTACATTTTTGCATTACATGAAGTTTACATTGATCTTAGGGAGTAGGTAACGTACATAACACATCTGCATGCCTTTTTATTCTCCTTCCCCACCCTTCTCCCTCTCTTCAACTCTAAATCCCCTTTCCCTATTTTCCTTATTATTGTTATTATTTTTAGTTCTCGTTTACAACATATAATGTTTACATTCCTTGTGGGCATATGACACACTTTAGGTACATGATGACACACTTTAAATCTTTTTACTTTCTCTTCCCTTCTCATCTTTCCCTCAGTCTCTTGGAACCTTTCCTTTTTTAAAAAAAAAATTTATTTTATTAGTACATTTTAGGTATACAATATAATGACATTCATCATTGGAAATT